TATGTTTCCTTATCTCTTATCTAAGACCTTCCTGGGCTTTGTCATCATTTTTATGGATAGGGAGAGAGTTCTTGATCAAACAAGGGATAGAAATGGTCATAAAAGATGACATGAATAAGTTTGATTACATAAAGTCAAAAATACTTTTCACAAAGAAAATCAATGCAATTAAAATTAGAAGAATAATTAACTTGGAAAAAAAGCTTTGCAACAAATTGCTCAGATTAAGGATTGACATCCAGGATATTTACAAATACATTAAATACAAATACATTAAAAATACATATTAGGCATTCCCTACTAGGATTTTTGGCCAATTCTGAAAAAAAGAAAGGCAAGCTATCAACAATCAAATAATAACAAAAGAAATGCAAATTAATACAACACTGAAGTTCCAACTGACACCTATGAGGTCGGCAAAGATGATAAAAAAGGAAAATTACAATGATTGGAGGGCCATGAGAAAACAGGCATATTAATGTACTCTTAATGGAGTTATGAATTGGTCTAGCTAGTCCAGAAAGCAGTAACTCAAAAAGTCACTGAACTGTGTTTAATCTTGGATCCAGTAAAAGTGCTACTGAGCATATACCCCAAAGAGGTCAAAGATAGAGGAAATGAACCCAGAATGTACAAAAATATTGATCACAAAAAAATTAATTAAAAAAATATTGATCATAGCACTTTTTGTGATAACAAGGAGCTACAAGGTGGTTGACCATCAATTGGAGAATGGCTGAACAAATTGTGATATATAAATGTAATCAAATATTTTTACACCATAAGAAATGACAAAAGTGATCTTTTTAGATAATCCTGAGAAACGTAAAACTGAGGCAGAGGGAAGTGAGCAGAACCAGGAGAGTAATTTATACACTGAGGACAACATTGATAAGGAAAACAATTTCAAAGGACTTAGAAACTCTGATCAATTCAGTGACCAATCACATCTCCAGAAAACTGAAGAGGAAGCAATCTCCTGACAGAGAGAGAGGATGACCTCAAAGAGACATACTTTGCATGCACAGCCACTGGTGCATTTATTTTGCTTCACTCTATTAATTGTTGCAAGGTTTTTTTTTTCCTTTTCTCTCAGTTTTTAATTGGTAGAGTCAGGGAGAGTGGAAGTTAGCAATAATGATGCCCACCCCCCCAAAAAAGAGGTCTACTGTGACTTTTTTTTAATGCATAGAAGAGAACAGCAGAATGTGCAGACCAACAAGACAGGTTGGAAAATAACATGTTGAATGTATCACATGCTTTAAAAAACCAAAGCAGCAAGTGAGATGAAATGGAAAGTCATGGTTTCATGGAGAATCCTCTTTCTGTGTGTTTTTGTGTGTATGGAAACTTTCTTTGTTTTTGATGTTTCAGTTCAGAATAAAAACAATGTATTTTATAAATGATCAGTTCCTCTGCTCTCCAGGGATTACACATACAGCCCCTCCAAATCATAGGCAGCCACTTAGATAATCTGTGAGTGTAAAGAATTCATTACCTTGGGGCCAATCTGGTGATTGAGATGTCATTCTGAGTTTGCTTTTAAGGAGGCTGAGATTGAGAGCATAGGCACATGTGCTCCAACCCTGGAAGGGCCCCACTCAAAGCTTGACTGACTCCAGCAGCCTGGGACCTGCTAGAGTTCAGAGGCCAGGCTCCATTCCACGCCATCCTGAAGCTTTGGTATAAGCCTTAGTGGAGGATAGTTTAATTAACCTACTATGAATAACCTTCTGTTAAAATACAATGTGGCATAGTAGAGTTCTGGGCTTGGAATCAGGAGAGACCTGGATTTGAATTTTGTCTTTGCTGCCTTCCAGTTCATGGGGCCCAGTGACCATGCAGAAGTCACATTAATCTCTCCTGAGTCTGTTTTCTTATCTGTAAAATTGGAATGATAATAATACCAATAGTGCCAACTTCATAAGATTCATCAACTTGAACTGGAAGGGACCTTGGAGGTCAGCTGGTCCAACATCCTTTATTTTATAGATGAGGAAACTGAGGTCTAGAGAGATGAAGCAACTTGACCAAGGTCACCCAAGTAACTAAGTGGCAGAACTGGGATTTGAACCAAGGTTTCCTGACTTCAGATCCAAGATTCTTTTTCTTTGTTTCCCCAAGTTTTCTTTCTTTTTCAAAATTATAACCTTAACAAATATCAACAAATATAAACACTTCTATATATAAAGAACAGAAAAAGAGGATTATGGATGAACCATTAATCTCCATATTTTCTAAATTGTCCTCCAGAGTCATTGTATTGTCAGAGTTCTGATTTTTCAAAGTTGTTTTTTGTTACAATATTGCTGTCCTTTTGTAACTTGGGGCTCAAGAGCATTTCCACAAGACTGTGAAGAATGATTACTGAATGGTCCATATGAGGGGTAGAGTTGGTGAGAGCTTGAGAGAGGCAAAGAGATCCTCCTTCTTCTGGCTTTCAGCTTTGGAAGAGGAGACATGCAGTTCTAGACTCTCTTCAGAGGTTGTTCCTTAAGTGAAGAGAAAGGCTTCAGAAAGAAGCTGACATGTAGAGGAGCAGACACCTCCATTAAGTCTCTATCCTCAGCTTCCTACACTAAAGGCTTTGGGGAGTTTTCCCTTGGGTGAGATCTGGGATTCTCTCTTGGTTGAATTGAGATAGCCCGCTACCAGTGGGAGAGCTCATTCACTCTGTATACTGTCTGGCATATTCTCATCTGTACACCTTCTCTGATTTCTATTTGTTGTCTTTGACAAATGGGTTAATTTGCTATTCACTATGTGTGTTCTTTGTGTAACTGGTATTATTTGGTGGAAAGGGAATCGAGCCTTTGGAGCACTCCTCCATTAAGGAATATCGATCAGGGGTACAGCTTGAATCTCAAAAACAATTTCCCTTGGGGGGAGGATAGATATCATTTGCACTTCATATGCCCTCTCTCTAAGATCAGAGTGGCCAGCCTCTGGCCCTTATCTCCTGCTCTCCTCCTGACAGGAATCAAAGTCTTCCTTGAAGAAGGATGGGCAGAAGAGACTGTAGAGATATCTATTCATGCCTCCCTGTGAGCCACATCTAGGCAGACCCATGTGGATGCACATAATGTGTGGGCAACACACACACAAATGCACATGTGTGGCCATCCTATCTCTAGGAAAGGGCAATAGAGATGGCCTTTAATAAATAAATAACATACACAGTAACAGTCACGTTGTGTGATGACTTATATTGATAGACTTAGCCCTTCTCAGCAATGCAAGGATCTAAGACATCTCTGACAGCCTCATGATGGAAAATGCTGTCCACATCCAAAGAAATAACTATGGAGTTTGAATGCAGATCAAAGCATACTGTTTGCTATTTTTTTCCTTCTGTTGTGTTTTGTTTCCTCTTTCTGGTGGTTCCTCCTATTGGTTCTAATTCTTACTTACATCACTAATGTGAAAATGTTTAATAAGAATGTATATTATAGCCTATATCAGATTGCATACCATCTTGGGGAGGGAGGTGGGGGAGGAGAGGGAGAAAAATTTAAAACTCAAAAGCTTATGGAAGTGATTGTTGATAAATCAAAAATTAGTAATAATTTTTTTTTTTTAGGCAATTGGGGTTAAGTGACTTGCCCAGGGTCACACAGCTAGTAAGTGTCAAGTGTTTTTTGATCTGAGGCCGGATTTGAACTCAGGTCCTCCTGACTTCAGGGCCAGTGCTCTATCCACTGCGCCACCTAGCTGCCCCAAAAATTAGTAATAATTTAAAAAAAGATATTCTGATCATGACGCAGAGGAGCACCTGGCAATTCTGGTGCCCACGGCAAGGATGGTTTACCAGGTGGGTGGAGATGTTGCCAGCTGCTGATGGAGAGCTCACTGCCAGAGACAGAAGCAGGCCAGGCCAAGGAGGGGCTTACCTGAGGGAGGGAGGCCCAGAGGAAATGCATACACCAAAGAACTTATTTCTATTAATACTTCCAGATCCTCATCTTGTCGACCTAATATTCAAACATTCTGACATGCCAAGAGGCAGATGGGCCTAGTGGCTAGAGGACTGGCCTTGGAGTCAGGAAGGTCTAGGTCCAAGAGCCACTCCTGACACATCTGGACTACATATAGGGCCATAGGACATTTCACCTTTCAGTGACCCAAGCAACTTGGAGGTGCTAAGGCATATGCTGACCTGCCTGGGTGGTAGGAATTTCCTTAAAGGGATTATTGCCTCCTAGCGAATATATTTATTCACAAGTTTATAAATGGTTTATAAATCTTCTTCTGGGGCACCCAGAACTGAATAAAATAGTCCAGATGTTCTTGACCAGAGCAGATGACAATAGGGCTATGCCCTGCCATGTTGTGGACCCTATTATGCCTCTCTGAATGCAGTTGCTTGAGATCGTGTTTAGTTGCCCACACAGCACACTGGTGACTCTTATTGAAGGCCCATGAAAACCTCTAGATCTTTTTTTTTCTTTCAGATAAATAGTTCTACAGCTACAACTGTCCCATCAGATTTTTAAAATCTAACTGCCAGATTTACATTTATTCCTGTTAAATTTCATCTTGTGAGGTATGGCTTATTGAGATCATTTTGTCATCGTCACTTGACTATAACAACATCTCTGCCTTCAAAACTTCTCCATAAGACCCTGTCTGAGAGAGACAACTTTCACGGAGACATGTGGCTAATGGGTTTCAACTCCAAGAATGGAAAACTTACTTTCTGGTAAGAAGAGGTATGCTGGGTAATAGTGGCAGCCACCTTGTATTGTCATCGACACAATGGCTCTTTATGGCTAGCTCAGGCTGCCTGTTTTTCATAGCCTCCCTCCCCTTCTCTCCCTTCCTCTTCCCTTCTCTCCCTTTCTGGCTAGAGCCCCTTTGGATGGACTGTACTTCCTCTCTACCCTTCCATCCCCAGCTCTTGTATCACTTTCTTCATGCTTGCACCACACCACACCACACCTCCCTCGGTCTACCTTCTAATGACTCACTCTGTCAAGGAGATAGAGAAACCAGGGCCTTACGTGAGGCAGAAGAGAAAGGATATAATCGCAGAGGAAACCAGAAAAGCATAAATAGCCGACCGTGGAAAGAAGTCCATGACGTTGGTCCAGAGGTCAGTCAGGAAGGAGGACATCTGGGAGCTTCTCCAACTTCCTGTAAGGAACAGAGACACCCTTCATTATGAGAAAGCAGTGGAAGAGTGATGGCAAGGGAGAGGATGGCTGGCCTCAGGAGAAGGAAACAAGACTTGAGTATTGCCTATGGGGTAGGCTCAAGGGAGAGGGGAAGCTTTCCTCACTCAGGGAAAATCTCCTTGACTTATGTTTGGTTTTTGTGGGTGTTTTGTATTGCCTAGTCTCTAGCACAGTGCCTGGTACATAGTAGGTGCTTCAGAGATGATGCCCAACTAAACTGAATTGAATTGAATTGGTTTGCTTGAAATCTTTTAAAAAAAAATGGGAGTTGGGGTGGGGCTGGGAGTGGAAGGGAACCTACACCCAACAGCCCCAGATCATTGGTTTTACACAGGCCTGATGTGGGGTTAGAGGTGTAAAGCTAGATCAGTCCCCCATTTCCTGCCAGCTACCCTGCTCTTGGCCTTCTCTGCGTCCAGCATCCTTCCTTCTCCAGGAAACTCCTCATTGGGAAATTTCATGCTGCAAGGTTGAATCTGCCTGGTCCTCACATCTCCTCAGCCCCCTTTGATTGGCCCCTCTGACTGGAGAGCAGGGCCAGGGGCTCCTGGGTTCCATTTAAGGATGCAGGTCAACACAATCTCTGTACCCTGTACTTCCTCCCCTTGCATCTATTCCTCCCTCCCCATCAGCTTCTTTGTGTGTGTTGATTTTTCCCATTAGATTGTAAACTCCCTGAGGACAAGAACTGTATTTGTATTTGTATCAGCAGTGTCTGGAGCATAGAAGGCACTTAATGAATGTTTACTGACTATTGAGATCCTGGTTTCCCAATCAGTCCAATATTGTTCCCTGGGATATGGCCAGATCCTAGGCTTCTTGATCCCTGCTGCTTACAGGACCCCAGCTGAGTGTGGTACAAGAGAACAAGGTGAGAAAAAACAAAGTCCCTGCCTCAGGGAGTTTCTAGTCTAGGAGGAGGTTTGGACACATTCATAAAAAGAAATGGTACTCATCCACGAACCAGAAGAAAGTGATGCCTCCAATGGAATGTGAGCTCATTCCAGATTGATAAGGCATTGATTGTTTAGGGGCAATGAGGGGGTTCGTTAGTGAGGTAAATAGGACAGAGAAAGGGAAGGAGTAGAAGATTATGGTATTGTAGAATGGTATCATAGAATACCATGATAAAGCTGGAAGAGAGAGATGGAGAGACATAGAGAGAGGAAGACAGAGAGACAGAGACAGAAAGAGAGAGACAGTGACAAAGAGGGAGAGATAGAGAAAAAAGAGACAGAGATGGAGAAAGATAAAGACAAAGAGATAGAAACATAAAGACAGAGACAGAGACATGGAGAGATACAGAAACAAAGAGACACAGAGAGAGAAGGAAAGAAAAGGAAAAAGGCAGAGAAACAGAGAAATAGAGAGAGGGATAGAGAAAGAGAGGGAGAGAAAGAGATAGAGACAGAAATAAAGAGATAGGTTGAGACAAAGAGACACAGTGACTGAGAAAGAGACACAAAGACAGAAAGATAGAGACAGAGACCAAGAGACAAGGAGAAACAAAGAGAGAGATACAGAGATGAAGGGAAATATATATATATAAAGAGAGAAAGAGAGAGACAAAGAGACAGAGACATAGAGAGACACAGAGACAGACAGAAAAAGAGAGAGGGAGAGAGATACAGATAGAGACACAGAGAGATAAGGAGTCAGTGAGACAGAGACACAGACAAAGAGATACAGAGACAGAGACAAAGAGAGAAACAGAGATTGAGAGATAGAAACAGGGACCAAGAGATAGAGAGATATAGAAACTGAAAGAATTAGAAAGAGAGATAGAGAGACAGAGGGAAACAGAGAGAGAGAGATGAGAGACAGAAACAGTGATAGAGACAGAGATGGAAAGAGTGAGAAATAGGATGAGGGAGAGAAAGGTAGAGAGAGAAACAGAGACAGAGAGATGGAGACAAAGACAGAAACAGAAAGAGTGATAGAGACAGAGACAGAGAGAGGGAGAGAGATAGGAAGAAAGAGGGAGAGAGGTAGAGAGAGACAGAGAAACAAAGAGACTGAGAGAGATAGAGACAAATAGAGACTGAGAGAGTTAGAGAGACAGAAATACAGAGAGACAGAGAGAAAGATACAGAGAGATATCGATAGAGACACAGATACAGAGAGATAGTCAGAGAGAAAGAAACAGAGACACAAAGATAGAGCTACAGAGACAAAGAGATAGAAATACAGAGAGACTGAGAGATTGAAACAGAGACCAAGAGACAGAGAGAGATAAATATAGAAATGGAAAGAGTTATAAAGAGACAGTGATAGAAGGAGACACACACACACACACACACACACACACACACACAGAGTTCCCAAAGAAGAAGGATGTGGAAAATTTCTGGTTGCAACACATCCAACTGCAGCAAGACTACAAATAGAATCAAAAGAGCAACTGAAAGCTCACACACCATTTAAGTGAAGAGAACAGTTCTATCCTGAAAGTTCCTCTTTCTTCTTGGAAGATCTGGAAAGTAACTGGGCTGGATAAGATCCATAGAGCTCCAGGACATCCCCATGGCCCTTAAATGGCCAGTCACGCTACCCCATGTACAAGTCTGATCCCTTTACAAAAGGCATCACAATATCTATTACCCCCAAATAAGAGCACCAGCAACCTCTCCAATTGTAGACCAATGACACATTTACAGACTTTGTACAAGGCCTTCACAGCTGGTGTCACTAAAAACAAAAGGAAACAAGCCCTCCAAGCCCCTTGTAATCCCGTGCAAGGAGACAGTTGGGACTGTGCTCCAGAGCCTCAGGGCAAAAAGAGCACCGTATTATCAATTTGGTCATTTTCCACCAGGTCATCCAAAAGCACTGTGACATTAACATTGCCTTTGTTGATTATTGCTAAGCCTTTCATTCAGCTCTACATTGATGGCTTATTCACATGCTGCAAATAGATCAACTAGACCCAAGTATAGTGAAAACATTAGTGTATTGAATGTCCACATGTGAAATTGCTCTCTATTTACAATACGCCACGAGCATAATGACATCGAGCACAACTGATACCAAGCATGGCATCTTTCAGGGAGACAGTTTCAGCCCTTTCTGGTCCTGCCTAGCTTTAAATAGGTTGTCATCTAATTGAAATTGAAGAGGGAGTCAAATTGAAATATCTTTTTCATCCCTTGATGCACACCAATAAGCCCATTCAGTGATCAGTGTAGATTATTCAAGGAAATGGGAGAATCTCTGACTCTATCACTGCAAGATGCAAAAATATGGCAACTACAGAATACCCAGCAAGAAATGACCTGGCTAGAAAGAATTCTAATCATTCTAATAATACATTGGAAACTTCAAACCAAGGTTCTTGGACCTTTCAAATCGAATGCACTCTGCCGCAGCAGCTTCTGAAAAGATGTGATTCGGTGAGCTATTTTCTTTCTTTCTTTTTTTTTTTAAGGCATTTGGGGTTAAGTGACTTGCCCAGGGTCACACAGCTAGTGTCAAGTGTTTGGTCTGAGGCTGAATTTGAACTCAGGTCCTCCTGACTTCAGGGCTGATACTCTATCCACTGCGCCACCTAGCTGCCTGTCTGTGAACTATTTTCAAAAGGCTTTAAAAGTCTTGAAAGTGGCCAGTGCTTATCCCTGGGAGGTAGTGGAGCAGTATAGGGAGTTATGGTTGCAGAATCAGGAAGACCTGGGTTCGAGGCCCAGCTTTATAAGTCTGGGCTCACCTCTCTGAGTCTGTTTTTCCCACCCCACCCCCATTTGTAAAATCTGCTTTTTCGAGATTCCCCATCACTGTAGGAGTTGCTTGGATTGGAGGCCCTCAGAAGGCCCAAGCACCCCTGGAGGTAAAGTTGCTATGACTCTGGGAGCTCTGGAGATTGCCCCTCAGCTTCTGCCCCATGGCCTCTTCAGAACTGCTGCTTCCTGATCTATATCTTACCACTAGACCCATATGGCTCTGGAGGAGAAAGTGAGGCTGGTGACTTCTAGCTAAAAGAACCATGCTCAATCTCATTTGTCCCACAGACAGCCTGCAAGGTCCCCATTCCACAGGGACAGTATGTCTCACTCAGGAAGTTTTTCCTGATATTGAGCAGAACCCCATCTTATATCTATATGATATAAGATATATCTCTTGTCTGGTGCCCTTCTGATGCTGGAAGTCAGCTCACTGGTGCCCCTAGAAACTGGGTTCCCAAGAGTAAAACTGGGAAAGTAGGAGGCCAGAAAATGGTAATTAAAGTTCATGGAGATCTGTGGTGACAGATGGAAGTGTGGGGGGGGGGGGTGGAGCAGAGAGATTCAGAGCTGCTCTAGGGAAAGCTTCTCAATATTTATGGGGTATGTAAACACTTTTTCCTCTGATGAAAACCCAGTGAGTATCCCATGAGATTAGAGATGAGATTGCCTGGCTTATCCCATGGACAAGTGAGGCTATGACTTGTCAATCAGCATGTCCATTACTTTTGAATGGCCCCTAATGCTTGGACCAAGTTGGGAACTGAGAAAACAGCAAGCTTCTCTCCATGTAACTTGCTCAACTCCCAAATCTTTACAGTGTCTATAGTGCAGGCTTTGGAGTCCAGAACTGGGAGGTCTATGTGTTTATAATTTGTCCATAGCAAGGGAAAGAGGTTCACCTGGTCTTCCCTTCTCCAGGGTTTGATTCAGCTGGGGAAGGCCTGAACTTGTCAACAATGACCCCTCAGTGACCATTTTAGGGTCCCTTACTCCCATCCTGCCTGTCCTCTTAAAAGCTGGAAGCCTTCAGGCAGTTCCTGGATAACCCCAGTCTCAGTCTGTACAAACACACAGTTTGAGGAGCATAGGGAAAATGAAATCAGCCTTTCTAACCAGGCCAGCGATAGAGCTCTGAGGCCTGTAGTCAGGAAAACCTGAATTCAAATCCATTCTCCGATAGTTACTAGCTGTGTGACCCTGGGCAAGTCACTGAACCTGTCTGCCTCAATTTCCTCATCTATAAAATGGTGATAATAACAACAGCACTCACCTCCCAGTGTTGTTGTAAGGATTAAATGAGATAAGATTTATGAAGTATTCATCACAGTTCCTGGCACATAGTAGGTGCCATAGAAATAGTAACTATTATTATTATTTTTATTATTATTATTATTATTATTATTATTATTATTATTCCCTTCTGCACCCACTGACCCCATCTATGAGCTGAGACATGCATCATGACTCTGAACCAGCCCAGCCTATAGATCATCATGGATTTGAAATGAGAGAAAGCAAAAGCAGTGAACATAGTGGGGAGATAGTTCGGCCTCGGTCTTCTGAGGCAAGCTGCACTGCCCTGAGGTCTTTGTCTTGCCTAATCACACTACAATTAGAGACTCACTCAGGACTTTTTGGGCTGTACCATAGTTCTGGTCAGTATAAAAGGCATACTCACCAGTCTTGAGAGACAGGATCTGTCTCAGGAGTGGCTTTCGGGCCACTCTCTCTTTGAAACCTGTGTCAAAGCTTGGCGGTGGCGAATGGACAGCAGATTCCATGTAGGGGTAGCAACAAATCAAGATGGTCAGGTATAATAGCAGAAGGCAGTTGTTGATCAGAAACTGCCTCATGTTTATCCTCTTGACATAGGCTCAGTTTCCTCTCAAGTATGGCATAGGCTGTTCTGTTGGTCTGAAAAGAGAAAATAATTGCAAAAGATTCCTCCCTAATTCTATATGTACAAATTTATAACGCCCTGGAAGCACAAAACATCTCATCTAGGGGCAGTTAGGTGGCACAGTGGATAGAGCACCAGCCCTGAAGTCAGGAGGACCTGAGTTCAAATCCGGCCTCAGACCAAACGCTTGACACCTACTAGCTGTGTGACCCTGGGCAAGTCACTTAACCCCAAATGCCAAACCCCCCCCCCAAAAAAAAACATCTGATCTGGAAGAGGCCTTAGAGATCTACTCCACTCACTTTGCAGATAGAGAAACTGAGGTTCAGGGGAGAAGGAGAGGCTTTAGTGGCTGAAGTCCCATTTGGAGACTTGTGTCACATAATCATGCCAATCAGTCTTTTGGGGGAAATTCTCATATCCTCAATTTCTCTAGGTGTGTTTGTGTTTCTTTTGTTAGGTCTGACTTTTAGGTCAGTCTAAAGGGTTTCCTGAATTTTGATACTGTTTGTGACACTCTGTGGCACCTGTGTGGCCTTGAGCAAGTCAGTGCCCCCTCCCACCCCCGGGGCCTTGGGGCTAGACTAAATAGTCTCTGAGGGCACTTCCAGCTCTAAAGCTCGAAGCCTGGGAAGTGGTTTTTCTTTCAAAGTAGCAAAGAGCTGAGTGGGCAGGTGGGTGCTGAGTAGGCACCATTTCCCAGCAGGCCTCCCCTTCTTCCCCTTCCCCTATCTTGGAGATGAATGGCACTCACCTCAGTAGTGACTTGGAGTGATAAGAGCTCTCCCAAGACAAGGTCTGATGGTGGTCTTCCTCTACCCTCAGGTCCTCTCCCACTCTGGCTCCAGTTTGCCCTTGAGCTTTGTGAGGTCATTGACTTTGTTACCAAACATTCCTGTGTTGCTCTGACAACAGAGCCTAAACAGGACTGAATCCCAGCTAGGTGAGGCTTGCCTCCTTTCACACTGTACTTTCCAAGTAGGGGATTCATTCATTTAGTGAATTATACTCAATTCACTCTCCTTTCAAGCTCTTCGACCACAAAGAGAAGCCAGTGTCCTCTTTCTCAACAGGGATCCCCTCCTTATCCCCTAGTGTTTCAGCACAGGCTTGCCCAAGACATATTGGATGTATCCTCACTCAAACTGTTCCCCCCTTCATTTCTGCCTCACCAAATCCCCCATGGCCTTCAAGGCCCAGGTCAGATGTCTCCTCCTCCAGGAAGCCCTCCCTAACCCTTACCCCTGTCAGTCAGGAATATTCTTTTAATCCAAAAGCCACTCCTGAGACAGATCTTGACTCTCAAGACTGGTGATTATGCTTTTAACACTAACCAGAATTATGGCCAAGTCCAAGAAATCCTGAGTGAATCTCTAATTGTAGTGTCGTTAGGCAAGAGAGTGACCTCAAGGAAGTGTAGCTCAGTCTCAGAAGATGGTGCCCCCTACTATCTCCTCACTGTTTTTGCTTTCTTGCATTTCAAATAAATTATGATCTCCTATCTGGGCTGGTTCAGAGTCATGATGCAGGTCTCAGCTCTTAGATGGGGAAAATGGGGTCCAGAAAGGCATATAATCAAAGCCCCTAGTTGAGAAGAAACTGAGGGTGTAAGAGGGGAATAGCCTTACCCTAGGTTCCCCAGGCAGTAAGTGGAAGCACTTACAGACTGAGGCAGCCCTTCAAATAACAGGTTCAAAAAGAACCTGGTTAGGCACTCTGAGTTCTGCATATAGAGCTCCATGGTAGGCCCCAGATTATTCCTCATCTGGCTGTTTGAGCATCTTCCTTCAGGGAGAGCCCTGGGACACGTAATAGCTGCTGAATATTCTTTCTTTTTCCCTAGGTTTGGAGTGAAGTTGTGGAGACTTGAGGGCTGCATGCTAGGATACAGTCATGGGTCAGTCTTTGACAGGATGAGGGTGTGGGTCTAATTTCACATGAGAGATAGTGGGGAAGAATCCAGAAGACAAAAAGAGGGCCTGGCCTGGCAGAAGACCAAGGCGGGGTGATTGTCCTTGTTAGCACTGAGTGATGACTTGGGGATGACCATTCTCCTCTGAGGTAGAGAGGAAGGTAACAAACTATTGCTACTGTAGCCCCAAGTCCACTCCATGCTTTCTAACGTCTCACACTATCACACATGGGATGTATCTAAGAAACTGCAGGGAGTACAGTTTGGTTGGGCCAAGGAGTGAGAAGTCCAGTGAGATGAAACGGAGAAAGTTGGTTAGAGTCAGATTATTAAAGGCCTTGAATGCCAAGCTAAAGAATTTAGACTTTCTCTTTGACCTGGGAGTCCTGCATTTTGGCTATGATGTTTCTAGGACTTTTCATTTTATGGTTTCTTTCAGGAGGTGACTGGTAGATTCTTTCTATTTCCGCTATGCTCTCTGGTTCTAAGAGAGCTGGGCAGTTTTATTTCTCGAAACATAATGCCTAGGGTGTTTTTTTGGTCCATTGATTCTTACTTTTTTTTTTCTCCCCAATCTAGTTCCAGGCTTTGGAGTCTGGAGCTGGAAGGTCTATGTGTTTATAAACTGTGCAAAGAAGGGGAAAGAGGTCAATTGTTTTTACTATGAGATACCTTACATTTTCTTCCTTTTTTTTCAGGCTTTTGCCTTTGTTTTAGTATTTCTTGTTGCCTCATAGAGTCATTGGCTTCTATTTGGTCCACTCTAATTTTCAATTTTGTTGCCTGGGCAGCTTTTGTACCTCTTCTGCCAAGCGTTTAGTTCCTTTTCCAATTTTCCCTTCCATAGCTCTCATTTCTTTTCCCATTTTTTCCTCCTGTTCTCATTTTATTGATAAAAAAAATTAAAACTCTTTTCCTTTAAACTCTTGCTTCATCTCTTCTGGGAATTCCAGTTGAGTTTGTGCCCAAGCTGCATTTCTGTCTGAGCCTTTGCTTGAAGATGTTTTGGAATCCTCTTCTAGGTCTGTGTCTCAAGCATCCGTGCCACCATAATAGCTCATTATAGTGGAGTCCTTTCTGTGACTGCCCATTCTTCCAACTTCCTTCCTGACTTGATGTTGGGCATAGCACTTCTGGAGGGAAGATCTGGGCTGGTCCTATTGCTGCTGTTTTCTCAGGGTACTGAGTGTTGTGTTATTCCAGGCTCTCAGGGATAGCTCAGACTCAGGACCTGTAAGTTCTCAGTGTTCTCCGAGTGGTCTAATCCATGGCAGAGTCTGATTGCTGTCTCCCTGGTCTGAGCTCTGCTGGTTCCTGTTCTGGCTTTGAGTCTGAGCAATAGATGCTGTTGGCCTTAGCCCTTATCAGCCAGCTGGCAGGCTCTGCTCTGTCCAAGTGGTGGAATTACTCTGAACTGACAGAATTGGTTTCACACCTACAGGCTTCCTTTTGGTCTGGGATTTCTGCCCTAATTATTTCTCTGCAGGCTGAGCTAAAGGCTAGAACATCTCTCCTTTCTCCCCCTTCCTTCCTCTCCCTCTTAGTCTTCTTCCTCTCTCTTTCCTGCTCTGTTTCTGGGGTCTGAGCCACACCACCTCTGAGGCTGCTGCCGACTTATGAACTTCTTTTCTTGATACGCTGCCCAGGACCTCTCTTCCCAGGAATGCCACCCCCAGTCGTAGGTGCCTTTCCCAGTCTGCCCTGGATTTATGATCCCACACTGGGGAGTGGGCTGCAAAGCTGCAGTGCCCCAGTCTGGCTCTAGTAATAGTAGAGGGGGCAGTAGGATTAAGGAGAGCCTTATTGTTTAGGAGACTTGAGCCCGTTTGGAAGCAAAAGAGGAGAAACCAGTGGAAAGGGAGAGAGTGAAAATGCAAAACAGAAAAGGGAGGATTCAGGCCAGCAGGTACTGAAGCCACCAGTCATTGCCTTTGCAGAGGGCAGAGGTTGAAGACTAGTTCAGAGACTAGCCTCTCCAGGGGACCAGTGCTCTTGTCCCCTTCATTTGAACTGAAGAGAGGAGAGAACCTCTTTTTTTTGTTTTGCAACTCCAGGCTCCTTGAAGAGGATGGAGATTCCTACATAGAGGAGGCTGCTGCTACTACTGCTGCTGCTGGTGGTGGTGGTGGTGGTGGGTGGGTGGGTGTGTGTGTGTGTGTGTGTTGGGGGGGATGGGGAGGAGTGGTACACTCCCCTTGCTCAGTTTCTGATAAAGAAGGCACATAAAATGTTTGGAGAATAGCATTATCTTCTTATTCATTACTATCACCATGAAAACCACCATCTCCTATAGTTCCCAAGAAAGAAAAAAATCCCCCCAACCTCAATCGCTCTCTTTTCTTTCCCCCTCTTTCCCATACTCCCTCTTTCTCACTCTCCCTTTTCTCACTTTCCCTACTTCCTTCCCTTTTTTCCTTCTCTCCATCCCTCTTCTTCTCTTCCCCTCCCTCTTGTTCTTCTTTCCCTCTCTTTCTATCACTTTCTTTCTCCTCTCCCCCCCTCTCTCTCCTCACCCCATCTGTTTATCTTTCTCTTCTTTTTCTAGCCCTTTCCAATTTTTCCCTCAGAGATATGGATTCTGTCTGAGTTGTTTTATGGAAAAGCTCAGCCAAGGAGGACTTCTAGCAAAGGATTAAGAATTGATTTGAGTGGACCTATACAGGCAATTCGTTGTTAGCAATGATAAAACCAACTTGGACTTATTCAGGCCATCCTGGATTTGGGAACATGAATCAGCAGAACCACATTTGCAGAGACAGTGTAATTTAATGGAATGCTAGAAATAGTCACAGATAATCCATCTCCCCCACAAAGACAGGTGAGCCCCTCCATTCCAGAGCCAGCTTCTTTTACTCAATCTGGAGTGTTCATCTGGCTAAGCTGCCCCGTTCTAGGTGAGGCAGGGTGCGATCCATGTTACTCTTGGGGAGACAAGCTAGCGGGGAGGGGATTAAAGGTAGGAAAGAGGGGGCACCTTCCTTTCTCCTACTTCTATAATAGGTCAAGAGATAGTCAGAAATCCCAGAAAGTCTCCCTGACCTGTAGTATTTGAATCACATCACAACATCACTAAGAGCAGGGGTGGCTGAGATGTTGGGAAGAGAAAGGGGTGGTGGACTAGAAGGGGAAGGGGTTAGGAGAAAGTTATGGGAAGGGGCTATTCAGAGCAAAGCCTATCCCAACCCTAACCCATTAGTACAGCTGCTGAGTGTCACAACCCAGAACCTCCACCCTCAAAGCAATATGGTTGGCCCAGCTCCAGGGGTGAATCCTCAGGTGTCTGGCAAAGAGCGGAGGCCTCACAGGGTTCACCACGGGGCTGGAATAATCCTGATTCCCCTTGAAGATCTGAAAGAAAAAAAGAGGCATTTTTGTGACTCAGGGAGAAGCAGAGGAAGCCTGGTCTAAGCACTTGACTTTGGCCAAGTGGAGGCAACAGGAGGAAGGACAGACAGATCCCAATTACGATACTAAGAAAGAGGCAACTAAAACGGACGGGCCATGTAACCCTGGGTCACATAGTGTGCCTCACTTCCCTTCTGTGGAAAAGGAGCAGGAGGGTTGGGATGGATGGCCCCTCTGGTCCCCTGCCAACTTGACAGGCTCAGATCCTTGAGGATCTGAAGAGCAGAAGAGCAGGGCCCATTCAGCAAGAGGGAGCCTTTGTGCAGGAAGGGACCCAGGCAGAGAAGCAGGACCAAAGCACTCATGTCCTTAAGGAAGGCACTGCCACCAAGAGGGCCTCAGCTTTGCCTCCTACAGCCTTAACCAGAGATGGGCTGGAGGAACTGGAGCCTCACCTTCTGCAGCTCAGGATCCAGTCGTTCCTGCCTAGTCCCTTTCTGGTAGCTGTGCCCACTGCCTCCCAGGTATTTCCAGTTTCCAACATGGAAAGGGCCTTAGGGCTGGGTTTCAGTACTTTTCTTTTTTTGTGGGTCTGGACCCCAGGGGCATGGGCTGGTGAAGCCTGTGGAGTTCTTCTCAGAGTAGTGTTTTTAAGGGCATAAAATAAAATAGACAGAGCTCCAAGATAAACCGAGTCTACTGAAATAGTTATATCAAAATGTTTTTAAAACCCCAACAACTCAAGTTCACAGAACTCAACTTAAGAGCCCCACCCTGCCTTAAATCTTTCTGCACCTGTCCCCCTATCTGAGCTTGTAAGTGGTGATGGGACAGACTGGTCCAGCCTTTCCCTGACACCCTGGCAGTATGGCCAACCCCCTTCCCTTTGCTCCCTCCCCAGGCATCTTCATTTCTCCCATGGCTTTAACTAGTACCTTTGGAGGTGAAAGGCAGCACAGTGTACTTAGAGGAAGGAGAGGCCTTTCTAGGTTCAAATCCTGTCTCTGGCACTCACTAGATGTGTGACCTTGGAAAAGTCACTAAATCTGCTAAGCTTCAGTTTCCTCATGAATAAAATGAATGAATGAAAAAAGTATTTAGTGATTACTACATGCAAAGCATTGGGGATACATACAGAAAAGCAAGATAGCCCCTCCCCTCAAGGAGCTAACCATCTAACAGAGAAAAGAGGTTTCAGCTGCAAGTAAAATGGAAAGGCCCTAAAGTCCTGAGGGTGCATTGGCAAAGCAGGTAGTGACACACATTCTTCAATGTCATTTCCACAGATAAAACCATGTCTGTTTTCCTCAGTGAGCTATTTAATGATGCTAAGGACTTCGATGATGAGGACCCCCTTTCCTGCCCACTCAGTAGGTACGGGTGCAGTGCCTTCAGAATCAGCTGCCAGACTGAATCTCTATTAGGGAGGTGTGGTTACTGACTCAGATGATGGCTGTAGAGGCTAGTTTGGAAGCAGGTCCAGTGATCTGTGGGATATGGGAAAGATGGCAGGTCTTTCTCCACAGAGGCCACTCCCCTAGACAGATGGCTTGGGGGCCTGGACTTAGAAGCAGGGTTGGTGGTTTTGGGGGCAGGGGGAACTGCTACTGCCAAGGCTCTTGAACTCAAAAGTCCCACTAGAGTCTGAAAGGAGGTGGTAGTTGAAGTGGTTGGTGTACTGGTGATGACACCTGTCTACAACCTTCCACTTCTCCCTCAGGATGCCTTACTACTTCAACTTTCCTGCCTCACAGGTGGCAGTTGGTGGGGATGTTGGCCTTGGGAGGCCTAGAGAAGTGGCCATACTTTCCCCTAAAGGGCTTTGCTCACTCAAAGTTGGAGAACTAAAGGGCTCTTCAAGGCTATTGAGTTTAGGGCCCTTATTTGCCAGAGGAGGAAAGTAAAGCCTCAGAGAAGCTAAGTGACTTACCTCAAGGCCACACAGTATCAGAGATTGGCCTTCTGAATACAAATCTAGCCCTCTAGTTGTTATTACATCCCAAATTCACATATCCAGTCCTCCTTTTTCTCCTGAGCCACAGGTCTGCATCTCCTCCTGAGTACAAAGGCTGTCCTGACAGCATCTCCCACTCATCTTACCTAAAGTTTATTAATCATCTTTAACTCCCACACCCGTCCCTCTTCCCTCTGGTAGTGCTGGGCCACCATGCTTAACCTTTTGTTCTTCTAGATGAAATATTTTTTTTCTAGCCAATTCCAATTTTCAAGGAGTTCTTTTCTTCAGTGAGCTTGTGTACCATTTGACCAATTCTGTTTTTTAAGGTAATGTTTTCTTCAGTATTTTTGGTGCCTCTTTTACCAAGCTTTTAAGTCTTTCTTCTGGGGGTTTGGAAGTTTTCAGTGCTTCCAAGATGGTGTGATCTGGGGACCGGTGTGGTCACTGCTGTCCTGATCTGTGCTCTGGTTTTTACCTAGGAAGGACTTCTGCTCTTCTGCAGCTGTAAGTGCTAGTGTTCCTCTCTGACCTGGAATTGTGATCAAGGCCCCTACTCCCTTATGATGAACCACAATTGCTCCTCTCTGCCCTGGAACTGTGTGCTAGAACTGTGTATGGGCAGCAGAGTTGCCAAAGAGAACCCAGTCTTACACCTAGTGCCAGTACAGGGTCCCCTGTAATCTCTTTCTGACTAGTTGTCCAATGCCCTTACCATCTCTGGGCTGAGAGCTCTTGAAGGTGCTGCTGCTGCTGTCACTGCCTCCAAGGCCCACTGCTGGTGTTGCCACTGGGTGACCTCCAGGCCAGCCTAAACCTCCTGCCACAGGCCTCTCCTTTTGATCTCCTAAGTTGTCTTTGACTTGAAAAATGTTTCATCCCAATCTTTTGTTGGTTCTGCCACTCCAGAATTCAATTTCATACATTATTTTAAAGTTGTTTGGAGAGGAATGTTGGGAAAGTTTGGCTGGGTGGCTGCCTCTACTCTGCCATTTTGGCTGCCCCACTTCTTCCACTTTTGCAAGATCAGGACACAGCATATTGTCCTGGCCTTCAAAATTGTTGCAAAGAGCCCTGATAGTGGCCTGACAACCACAGCTACCAGCTCTTTCAGGCCTCAGGGGTATCCGTCCAGGCAAAGACACTGTGCCAGGCACTGTGCTAAGCACTGAGGATGCAAAAAAAAGCAAAAACTGGCTTTCTGCCCTCAAGGAGCTCACAATCTAATGGGAAAGACAAACAAATTGCTATGAACATACAAGATCCATAAAATGGAAATGGGAGGTAATCTCAGAGGGAAAGCATTAGCAGTGGGGGAAGGGGGGGCAGGGTGTGAGAGGGTGGTGGTGGGATCAGGCAAGGCCTCCTGCAGAAAGTGAGATTTGAGCTGAGTCTTGAAGGAGGCCAGGGAAGCCAGGTTAGTGTGAAAAGGGAGAACATCTCCAGCATGGGGGACAGCCAATGCAAAATTATAGAGTTGGGAGATAGAGGGTTATGTTTAAGAAAGGGTAGGTTTGTAGGCTGTGTGCAAGGGAGTCAAGTATAAGAAGACTGGAAAGGTTGAAAAGGGTCTAGTTGTAGAGGATCTCATATTTGACCTTAGAGGTAGTAGGGAGTCACTGGAGTTCAATGATTAGGAAGGTGACATGGTGAAACCTAGACTTTTTTGTTTTGTTTTGTTTTTTTGTTAGGCAGTTGGGGTTGAGTGACTTGCCCAGGGTCACACAGCTAGTGAGTGTCAAGTGTTTGGTCTGAGGTCAGATTTGAACTCAGGTCCTCCTGACTTCAGAGTTGTTGCTCTATGCACTGCGCCACCTAGCTGCCCCTTAAATCTAGACTTTAAGAAGACCACTCTGAAGTGACTGAATGTCTTGGCACTATGCACAATGCTTTGGTCATGGGGGATGCCCTTATGGAGATTATGGGCATTATGCCCTTATAGTTTCAAGAGCTGAACCCTGGCTGGTCTAGTTATTTTCAAGTAGGCCTCAAGCTGTGACTGTGGGATATAGTAGTAGAGTCAAAATCCAAACTTAAGGCATTGAACAATAGGACTTTAGAGTTAAAAGGAATCTCCAAAGTAAACCCTGTCCAATTCTCTCATTTTCCAGATACAGAAACCAAGGCCAAAGAGCACACTGGCTGAGATTTTAACCCAGGACCTTTAACTTCAAATCCAATGTTTTCTGACTCCAAACTGATCAGCTGCTTCATTAGTCAAATGAGCTCAAGAATTCACTGCCCTTAATGATGGGTCCTATAGCTAGATACACGTGGTACACAGAATGGGAAAGAGGTGGGTGGAGAAGAAGGGAGAAGGGGGGAGAAGGGAGAGAGACAGAGAGACAGAAAGAGAGAGAGAGAGAGAGAGAGAGAGCTCACACAAGGAGAAAAAAAAAACCACTGACTAGACCAAGCTTAAGCAAAATTCCACTGTAGATGAAATCTGTTAGCAGTATCCTCCCTAAATCCCCTCCCCTCCCTGGGCTGGCTCCCATGATTGGGACCTTCTCCTTTCAAACCTGTTTCCTTCCCTGCAAGGTTTCTGGGGAGATCAAAAAAGAAAATTCCCAGGAGCCAATCTTAATCTTAGAGGGCGATGCTTGATGAATATTTGTTAACTGGATAAGGAAATTAATGAAGGAGATGAAAAGGAATGAACTGTTCACTCAGGGCAGACCTATAAGGTAGCCCTTCTGGGGGACCTTAAATCATATCACAGAGGCGATCCCCTACCCAGTCTGAGTAGGTCCAACCTCACTGGAAAGGGCAAAAAGCCACCCTTGATTCAGTCCTTTCCCTTCCCTTTCCTGGGGTTCACAGCCCATCAATTTAGGTCCCTTTGGCCATGTCCCCTGAGCTCAAGCTTCTTGAGGGCAACTTTTGAATCCTGCCCTACCACCTATGCTATCAAATGAGGTACCATTTGTAAAGCACTTAGCACTGTGTCTGGCACATAGTAGGTGCTTAATAAATACATATTCCTTTCCCTTATCCCCCATCCCCAGTGCTCTGTTGGTGCTCATCTGAGACTGGGAATTGGAAGATGTGTGCCCTCCACTGAGTGGATCACCCTGTCCAAACCAGATTCAGAGGCTTTTCTCCCATTTCTCAAGAGCTCAACATACCTTTACTTTGTTATTCTGACGAAAAAAGGTCCAATTTTTGCCATCTAGGCTGCTGGAGAGCAAGAACTCTTTCACATACATGCTGGTAAGGATGGACTTCACTCCCTGGGTTGTTACTCCAGTGACTTTCATCAGCTTCCAAAAATCCACCTGCAGCCATTCCCTCTGCCCATTCTCCTGGGGAGGAATGGGATTGTGTTGTTGGCCACCACTCCCCTCTTCCCTGAAACTCAACTTAATACCTCAACGGAATCAGGCAGGTGCCTCCATTCCTGGCCCTCATCCATACATTGAATTTCCAGGAGGCCATAAAACCAGGGAACACAGTAAGGGAGGCTTACTACCAGAGGTGCTAGAACAGGGGCCAAAACACTGGCCACCATCTCCAGAGCTTCAGCCCTCACTGGGCTCAAACTCTGGGGGGAGTTTGTTGCACTCTTCTCTACATGGAATGCTTCTGTGAGAACCTACATGGTATCAGTGCCCACACAATGCTGACCCTCTCCAGTACCTTCTACCATCCCCACCACCCCCATTCTGGTATCCAGGGAAACAGGCCTCTTGGCCGTTCCTCAAACAAGACCTTCCATCTCTGGACTCGGGGCTCTTTCTCTGGCTGTTGCTCATGCCTAGAATGCTCTCTCTTCTCATCTCTGCCTCCTGGCTTCCTTAAAGTCTCAGGTAAAATCCCACCTTCTGCAGGATATCTTCCCCAATCCCTCTTAAATGCTAGTGCCCCCCTCCCCAATTGATTATCTCCAGTTTATCCTATTTATAGCTGGTTGTTTGCACTGTGAGCTCCTTGAGAGCAAGGTCTGTCTTTTGCCTTTCTCTGTGTCCCCAGTGCTGAGCATAGTGCCTGTCAAACAGTAGGTGCTTGTTTATTGACTGACCACAGTGACTGGCTGACAGTACTGGACCCAGCAAGATTTTCACCTGAGGCAAAAACAGGTGAATAGTATGAGGGATGGGGAGGGAGTGAGGTAGGTTGGGAGGGCAGGCAGGCTCATGAGAGAAGCCCTGCAGGAACGGAACCTGGGACATCTGTGCAGGATGGCTGGAGGCCAGCTGTGCAGCATAGCAATGCAAGCCAGTTGAAGACCCCAGGGTAAGGCACAGGGACAGAAGTCACCCTAAGGAGGAAGCTGCAAGTCCCCGCCCCCAACAAGGGTGCCCTGGATCAACGAGTTCATTTGCTCCTGTCAGCTAGTTAAGAGAGGCCTCCAACCACTGTTACTGTCTGTATGGGAATGGCCGAGTTTCCTGCATACTTTCTGGCAAAGTCTTAATCTTCCCTGGCCTTTCAGCACTTAATACTCTCTCCTTAGGGAGGGTGTTTCATGCCATCTATGAAGTGTCTTCATAGGTTACTTACCCGGGGCCTCCAGGCATTGGTTCGGCCCTCAAGGTTAAGTCGAGCTTGGGAAGGGGCCCAGTTGGCAAACACGTTAGTCTTGTGGGATGAAGCTGTGACCTGTGCATCGGAGATGCTTCGATTTTCCATGCCTAATGGTAGGCTACAGCCTGTACAGAAATGGGGAGGGTGTGGGGGAGTCACTGTCAGAACTGGCAGTCTTGGGTCCAGTGGCCATCCACCTCCTCTCCGTGGTTTCAGTCCCACTTCATTTCACCCCTTTCCCAAGCTCACAGATGGTGAGCTCATCCCCTAATTTGAGAACTCCCCCAATGGCTCTGGTGACGATGGAGCTCCTTCTAGTGCCGAGGTGGCTGAGACCTGGTGGACACCCCTGAGGCACTCCGTCAAGGATCTCCAAAGCCCAGGTTACTCATTTGGGGGACTCTGGAGTACTCACTGTCGAGCTCACAGCCGAGCAGCTCCATTCGCAGAGTGCTTCGCACGCTAAAGTGGGAGGGCTGGAGGCGAATGTACTGGGCAACGATGGGAGGGTCAAACACGTTTTCTTTGATCCCTGAGGCATCTACGTTCCCAAAGAAGACCTGCAAGGCCGGTACTTATGAGGGACCTCCAGGGCAGAGAGGCCAGTGGGGAGGCCGAGCCACGTATTCCCACGACAACTCCCACAGTTGGCTAGCCAAGCTTCTCGTACAAACAGGAACATGGTTAGAAATTCCCCCCATTCCAAACTTGGGGAGCAGAGTCAGAGCCTGTCCTGCTCTCATTCCCCATCCCCCTTACTCTAGTCTTGTACCACCTGCTGTGGTACCCAAGGCAATCAAACTCTCTCCTGCCTGAAGCCCTCGTTCAGTGGCGCTTCTGCCTCCTGAGTTCGGACCACAAACCTCGACCTCGTGCCCGCTCTCTCCTGCCCTCCCCACTCTAATCACTGAGGCGCTTGTGCCTGAAACGGTTGTCTCTATACCCCCCACCCCACTCTCTTCCTTGAGGTACTGGTCCCCCTGGCTCTCGGTGCTTGCTGAGCTCCTGCCTGCTGAGCTCGTGCCCGCCCTCCCCACTCTCGTCCCCCTGGCGCTCGGTGGGAGCTGAGCTCGCGCCTGCACACCCCACTCTCGTCTCCCTGGCGCTCGGTGCTTGATAAACTCGTGCCCACTGACCTCGCGCCTGCACTCCACACTCTCGTCCCCCTGGCGCTCGGTGCCTGCTGAGCTGGTGACCGCTTAGCTCGCGCCTGCACTACCCACTCTCGCCCGCCTGGCGCTCAGCTCGGTTCCTGCTGAGCTCGTGCCCGCTTAGCCCTTGCTTGCCCTCCCCACTCTTGCCCCCGCCCCCGGCGTTCACCTCAGTGCTTGCTGAGCTCGCGTCCGCTGAACTCTTGCCTGCACTCCCCACTCTCGCCCCCCTGGCGCTCGGTGCTTGCTGAGCTCATGCCCGCTTAGCTCGCGCCTGCTGAGCTCGTGCCAGCCCTCCCTACTCTAATTCCTGAGGCCTTCGTGCTTGCTGAGCTCCAGCCTGCTGAGCTCCGGCCCGGCCCTCCCCACTCTTGTCGCCCTGGCGTTCGGCCCAGGGCTTGCTGAGCTCATGCCCGCTGAGCTCGCGCCTGCACTCCCCACTCTCTCCTGCCTGGGGCTCAGCTGCCCGCTGAGCTCGCGCCTGCACTCTCC